TCACCCAACCTAACCTAATCCTAACCTTACATAACGTGCTCGTGACAGATCTTACTCTACTCGTGACAAATCTTATTCTCCAACTTAATGGTCAAACCGATCCTAACCTAACCTAACAGGCTCGTGACAGATCTTACTCTACTCGTGGCAAATCTTTCCTACTGTCGACTGATATTTGAACTTAACGGTCGAACCAATCCTAACCTTACCCAACGGGTTCGTGGCAGATGTTACTCTGTTCATGACAGATCTTTCTCTACTATCAACAGATCATATTCTCAAACTAAATGGTCCAACCAATCTTTACCTAACCTAACGGGCTCGTGACAGATCTTGCTCTTCTCGTTAAAGATCATACCCTTCTTTCGATAGATTTTATTTTTAAACTAAATGGTCCAACCAATCTTAACTTAACCTAACGGGCTTGTGACAGATTTTATTTTAGTGATGACGGATCTTTCGTTAGTCCCGATAGATCATATTTTCAAACTAAATGGTCCAACCAATCCTTACCTAACGGGCTCGTGACAAATCTTACTTTACTCATTTACGGTGTCAGTAACGCTGTCAATAACGCTGTCAGTGGAGCTGTCAGTGACGCTGTCAGTGACGCTGTCAGTGACGCTGTCAGTGACGCTGTCAGTGACGCTGTCAGTGACGCTGTCAGTGACGCTGTCAGTGACGCTGTCAGTGACGCTGTCAGTGACGCTGTCAGTGACGCTGTCAGTGACGCTGTCAGTGACGCTGTCAGTGACGCTGTCAGTGACGCTGTCAGTGACGCTGTCAGTGACGCTGTCAGTGACGCTGTCAGTGACGCTGTCAGTGACGCTGTCAGTGACGCTGTCAGTGACGCTGTAAGTGACGCTTTTCCCAGTGACGCTGTCAGTGACGCTGTCAGTCACGCTGTCAGTGACGCTGTCAGTGACGCTGTCAGTCACGCTGTCCGTGACGCTGTTAGCGTTACTAACGGACACGTGAATTTTTAGCCCTGCTGACATCTGTGCTGTCACGCGTGTGGTATTGTAGTGCCAGTGGTGTCAGTAACGCTGGTGTCAGTGACGCTGGTGTCAGTAACGCTGGTGTCAGTGACGCTGGTGTCAGTGACGCTGGTGTCAGTGACGCTGGTGTCAGTGACGCTGGTGTCAGTGACGCTGGTGTCAGTGACGCTGGTGTCAGTGACGCTGGTGTCAGTGACGCTGGTGTCAGTGACGCTGGTGTCAGTGACGCTGGTGTCAGTGACGCTGGTGTCAGTGACGTCGGTGTCAGTGACGCTGGTGTCAGTGACGCTGGTGTCAGTGACGCTGGTGTCAGTGACGCTGGTGTCAGTGACGCTGTCAGTGACGCTGTCAGTGACGCCGTAAGTGCCGCCGTCAGTGACGCTGTCAGTGACGCTGTCACTGACTCTGTCAAAGACGCGGTCAGTGACTATGTCAGTGACGCTGTTTGTGACGTCGTCAGTGACGCCGTCAGTAACGCCGTCAGTGACGTTTTCAGTGACGCCGTCAGTGACGCCGTCAGTGACGCCGTCAGTGACGCTGTCAGTGACGCTGTCAGTGACGCTGTCAGTGGCGCTGTCAGTGACGCTGTCAGTGACGCTGTTGTCAGTGACGCTGTTGTCAGTGACGCGGTGTCAGTGACGCTGTCACCTAATCTAACCTAACCTTATCCTAACCTAACCTAATGTGCTCGTTACAGATCTTACTCTACTCGTGACAGATCTTATTCTCCAACTTAATGGTCAAACCAATCAAGAACCTAATATAGCCCCAATCCGACTGACTCACTCACTGACTGACTGACTCATAGAAATGTTTGGGGTCAAGGAGTGGTCGTAGAGACTTGCGGTTTTTTCCATTCGATTCCAAATTTTATGGGAAAATTGGGAAAAATCCCAGAAGTTTAAAATTCCTCACCGTTTCCGAGCAAACCTACTTATTCTTCAAAAAAGGGGATCAAATTCCTCACAGTTTCCGAGCAAACCCACTTAATCTTCGAAAAAGGGGACCGACCGACTAAAAATTTTTATTCGCCCTTTCGGTAGGTCTGGTCGAGACATTTCCGAAACTGTGCCGCAATCGGGTCCCCGTCACCGGCAACATCCTCAAAACGATAAAATAGGCCTAAATTTTAACAAAACCCACTCAATCTTCAAAAAAGGGGACCGACCGACTAAAAATTTTTATTCGCCCCATCGGTAGGTCTTGTCGAGACATTTCCGAAACTATGCCACAATCGGGTCTCCGTCACCGGCAACATCCTCAAAACGGTATAAAAATAGGCCTAAATTCAACAAAATCCACTCAATCTTCAAAAAAGGGGACCGACCGACTGAAAATTTTTATTCGCCCTATCGGTAGGTCTGGTCGAGACATTTCCGAAACTGTGCCACAATCAGGTCCCTGTCACCGGCAACGTCCTCAAAATCATCAATCAAGAACCTATATAGCCCCAATCCGACTGACTCACTGACTCACTCACTCATAGAAATGTTGAGGGTCAAGGGGTGGTCGTAGAGACTTGCGGTTATTTCCATTCACCTATAGCCTTGTCAAAGCAGTCTTCAATACCCATTGACTGCCACAGCAGCCAATGCAATACAAGCTATCTATTTGGGCAGTAAAAGTAGCTGAATTATATGGTCAAAAGGTGTTAAATAGACCTTTCAAAGAAGCAGTACATTGACTTCCTTGGAAAATTTGCCTTTGGTCACCACGGACGTACTGAAAATACTTCGGCACGCGCCCCACACATGCGGGGATCTGGGGGCGGAGCCCCCAGCGAGCAGCGCGAGTCCTAACCTAACCTATCAGGCTCGTGACAGATCTTACTCTATTCGTGGCAGATCTTTCCCTACGGTCGACACATATATGAACTAAACGGTCGAACCAATCCTAACCTTACCCAACGGGTTCGTGACAGATGTTACTCTGTTCATGACAGATCTTTCTCTACTATCGACAGATCATATTCTCAAACTAAATGGTCCAACCAATCCTTACCTTACCTAACGGGCTCGTGACAGATCTTGCTCTTCTCGTAAAAGATCATTCCCTTCTTTCGATAGATTTTATTTTCAAACTAAATGGTCCAACCAATCCTAACCTAACGGGCTCGTGACAGATCTTACTTTACTCATTTACGGTGTCAGTAACGCTGTCAATAACGCTGTCAGTGACGCTGTCGGTGACGCTGTCGGTGACGCTGTCGGTGACGCTGTCGGTGACGCTGTCGGTGACGCTGTCGGTGACGCTGTCGGTGACGCTGTCAGTGACGCTGTCAGTGACGCTGTCAGTGACGCTGTCAGTGACGCTGTCAGTGACGCTGTCAGTGACGCTGTCAGTGACGCTGTCAGTGACGCTGTCAGTGACGCTGTCAGTGACGCTGTCAGTGACGCTGTCAGTGACGCTGTCAGTGACGCTGTCAGTGACGCTGTCAGTGACGCTGTCAGTGACGCTGTCAGTGACGCTGTCAGTGACGCTGTCAGTGACGCTGTCAGTGACGCTGTCAGTGACGCTGTCAGTGACGCTGTCAGTGACGCTGTCAGTCACGCTGTCAGTGACGCTGTCAGTGACGCTGTCAGTCACGCTGTCCGTGACGCTGTTAGCGTTACTAACGGACACGTGAATTTTTAGCCCTGCTGACATCTGTGCTGTCACGCGTGTGGTGTCATTGTAGTGCCAGTGGTGTCAGTGACGCTGGTGTCAGTGACGCTGGTGTCAGTGACGCTGGTGTCAGTGACGCTGGTGTCAGTGACGCTGGTGTCAGTGACGTTGGTGTCAGTGACGCTGGTGTCAGTGACGCTGGTGTCAGTGACGCTGGTGTCAGTGACGCTGGTGTCAGTGACGCTCCCTTACAGAAAAATACAGTACGCTTTTAGTCCCCGAACAGTTCGCTTTTAGTACGCGTGGACTGGGTCGCTTTCAGTCCCCTCGACGAGGACACTAGTCCGCTTCCTGGCCCAAATCAACCAAAAACCGCCCTCAAAGCGACCTAGTCCCCACGGACCAGTTCGCTTTTAGTCCCCTTCCACGCGCACCAAAAGCGTACCAGTCCACGCGGGACCGGTCCGCCGCGCGCACTGAAAGCGTCCTAGTCCGCGCGGGACCGCGCACCAAAAGCGTACTAGTCCGTGTCATGCGGGTTGCCTATTGCAGCCCCTACATGGAGAGGGGGGAAAAGGGGGGGGGGGAGAAACTGAAAAAAACTTACAATAGAACTAAGGCAAACAGTCAAAGTTTTAAAATATGAACATTATTTAGAATTAAGAAATGAGATACATGAAACAGGAACTGTATACCATATTCTTAAGCCCAAAACAGCTGTTGAGAAACAAAGAAAGCCCACAATTTAAACCACAAACTTAGGGCAAAAACTTAATATCAACGAATGAACATGGCATCAATCATTTGAACTCAAGGAAAAGATAAACACTAGAGCACAACAAGACATTTGAACTAAAGGAAAAGATAAACACTACGACACAACAAGATAGACATATGAACAAAAGAAAACTTCATACCATGGAATGAATTGACAACAAAAGGAAAACAAGTTTTCATAAAAGAGCCCTTGAGTTGAGTAAAATACATGTGGCATGGACTCTCACTGGACTCAGTGAGGCAAAGCAAGTCCAGCAAACAACTTCAGGGGAAAAAATTCCAGTTCAAAAAGACTCCAGTAAAACGCCATTACAAGACGGTCAAATCCTCACTCTGCTGTGGCATTTCATATTGCTGTGGTCCTGGAAAACAATCAGCATTAGTTGTAATATTTGCTATGGAGTAAGTTCAATAAGAGAGGATTAGGTTTGACCATACCTGGTGAGGTGAATTGTTGATGATTAGATTGGAATAGGGATGGACATGAATACGAAGGCAAAATTGGTCCATGTCCTTGCTGAGGATTTCCATGCAGATAGCTCGCTTGCTGGTGATCATTTGCCTGTTGTTGGAAGTGTTGTTGTTGTTGCAAATGCTGTTGAACTTGCTGTAACACTTGTTGTTGAACTTGTTGTTGCAAGTGTTGTTGCACCTGTTGTTGCCAATGAGCACCTGAAAGAGATAATGTTTGTTAACAAACAGAACCTCCAAACGTTGGAGAGAAAAGACAAAGACCAAATTCACCTTGGGTTGATACATGGTTGTTGACAGGCCAGGTGTATTTAGAAGGGGACGGAAAGATAGGTGATGGTCGAGTCACAGCTGGTGTTCGAGTCAGGTTCCCTGAAAGGCACAACAATAGAATTAATTGCAGTCCGGGCTAACAGATATAAAAGCTGTGTCAAACTAAACTTTACCTTGAGAGGGAGGCTTATTCTGCACAACCCAAGAAGACTTTGATGGAGATGCAACAACTTCGCTTGGTCCAGCTTTAGGGCTTTCTTCTGAGACATCTTTGGAAGGAGTTCGGTTGTCACTCTGTTGAAGCTTATCTTTGGGAGTGGCCTTTCTATGAATCTGGCTCTTCTTCCTGTTAATTATTTTATTGAAGGCGGCCACTGTGAGTGTCTTGTAAGTTTGACCCAAATTCCGGTTTGCAAATGCTACAATATTTTTCAAATAAAAAAAGAGAGAGACAAAATGGTAAGTGCGCATAGTACATACAGAAAAGTTTACAATAAAGAGAGAAGATATAAAGTAAAATACTCAAAACCCCCTCTCTTTTCTTTAAATATAAAATGTAAAGATAGGAAGAAAACATCAAGAGAAGAGTAAGATAAATTGACTTACATCTCATAGCGTTCCTCACATTTTCTCGCACTCCCAAAGTGCCAGGTCTTAGGCCAAGAGCGGTGACATAATTGTTCAGCAAGGTTTCACGCCCAAAGAGACAAACCAGTGTGAGTCTCACTAATTTGGCTGGATCACCTTTAGCACTGACTTTAATTGAAGACTTATCTGAAATCCGGATATAGACTTTGGGCTGCATATCCTTGGTGAGTTCACACTGAATGGGGAAGAAGTCAAACATTTAAGAAAACAACAAGGCCGCTGCTTCCAGATTCCAAGCGGAAACCAGACAATGAATGTGTCTTTAACTGACATTGTGTGCCACGCTATTAGGCTGCTGGCTTTGGTTGAAATTTATCAGCCCTCTAAAAATTTAATTTTAAAACAAACATTCAATCTAATATCAACAGCTCAACACTTAAAAGACACACAAAATGTAATATTCTTTCCCAAGCTAAAGGTGATGCTACAATGAACTCATCTCTCATTGACTGGTGTTTTCATTGGCATGGACTTGTAGGCCATGTGCTTCCTCTCTGTAATAAAATTGTGATATAGTCTTGTAGAGAACAGTATTCCTTATGCTCTAGGACATTTTTCAGTCTTCTCATCACCACAGATATTATTATATAACAAAAATAAAATTGTTTGATGTGACTAATTCAAATTAACAATTTTATTTTGGTTATATAATAATATCTGTGGTGATGAGAAGACTGAAAAAAGTCCTAGAGCATAAGGAATACTGTTGTCTACAAGAATATATCACAATTTGATTACAAAGAGGAACCACATGGCTTACAAGTCCATTCCAATGAAACCACCAGTTGATGAGCAATGAGTTCATTATAGGAGCACTTTAAGACAGCGTTGTGCACTCACCTTTGGGATATCATCTGGTATAGGGAGCAGTTCAGCATACTTCACATTAGGACTTGTTGCTATGTTGCCAAAAATAGCCAAAGCTTTCACAAACATTGACCCCGGCCGATTCACTGGGAAAGAGAAATGACAATAGTTACATTTACTATAAAAAAACTAATGATTTAATTTCAGCCTTACTAGTTTACTTACATGCTTTCTTCAAGTCTTTGCAATGGCTGCAACAATTGCTATCAGGCTTGGTAACTGATCGTTCATTTGCAACTGAGCGTTCCGTTTCATCAATATCCATCTCCTCCAGAAAATCAATACCGTCATCACTGGCTTGACAATCATTGTCCTCAAGATAGTCATCATGTGGGTTCACATTGTCAGAAAACAACCGCTTCCTTGGCGTACTTTCTGACAGTGCCTCTCTGTCTACATCATCCTAGTAGAGGACTAAAGTATTGCAGTGAAATAACAGTCATCCAAAAATTAACAGGACGTTGCACAACTTCAACCGTACCTGAGCATTATTCTGGGCCCTGGTGGCTGCCCGCTTGGCACTGGTCAGCTCCTTAACCTTGGGAGCCTGCTGAGAAGTAGGCTTAAACCTCTCCCCAAGAGCAGAAGCCACAAGGTTGAGCGAAGCCGCTCCAGGCTGTGCTGCGGGTTTCCTGTGGCGGAGAGCCCTTCGCTTACTTTCCAGCTCTGCCGTCTTCTTCTTTTGCAGGGCTTCTTCAATCTCAAGACACAAATTTTCCTCTGCCTCTTCTAACTTCAATGAATCACCTAGAATTATAGAGGACACGATAAGTTAAACCAAATGCGAAGTTTCCACGTAGGCCTGATTGATGCAAACAATCTAAGAAGAGAACGTTTTTAGCTCATACACTCCGATTTCGACCAAACTTTGGGAAATCGTTCGTTTTCATACTAAATTAAGATGGGCCATCAAAGTTGATGCAACAATACATATCTAGAGGGTCAAATGGGGCTTCAAAAATGAGTTTTTTACACTTGTTTTCCTGCTTTTTTGGGCCTTAAAGAGCGAGTTTTGGAGTGGACTCTCCGTGTCAAGATCTACATCATCTCCGATGTTTTTTGGGTCGCTGATGGCGAAAATCACCACTATTTGAACGACCGATCAAGTTTTCTACCAATTCCGACCAAGTTCCAACCAAATTTGGGCCTTTTTCGACGTAAAATTAGCAGTTTGAGTGATATGAGTTATATATTGATTCCTATGTTTTTCGGGTCGCCGAAACCAAAAATCGCTATCATTGGAACGCCCGACCAAGCTTTTACCCTATTCCGATCAATTTCCGATCAATTCTGGACCTGTTTTTGGCGTATTACTTTCATCAAGAACCTAGCCCCAATCCGACTGACTCACTGACTGACTGACTGACTGACTGACTCATAGAAATGTTTGGGGTGAAGGAGTGGTCGTAGAGACTTGCGGTTTTTTTCCATTCGATTCCAAATTTTATGGAAAAATTGGGAAAAATCCCGAAAGTTGAAAATTCCTCACCGTTTCCGAGCAAACCTACTTAATCTTCAAAAAAGGGGACCAAATTCCTCACCGTTTCCGAGCAAACCCACTCAATCTTCGAAAAAGGGGACCGACCGACTAAAAATTTTTATTCGCCCTATCGGTAGGTCTGGTCGAGACATTTCAGAAACTGTGCCGCAATCGGGTCCCTGTCACTGGCAACATCCTCAAAACGATAAAATAGGCCTGAATTCAACAAAATCCACTCAATCTTCAAAAAAGGGGACCGACCGACTAAAAATTTTCATTCGCCCCATCGGTAGGTCTGGTCGAGACATTTCCGAAACTGTGCTGCAATCGGGTCCCCGTCACCGGCAACATCCTTAAAACGATAAAATAGGCCTTAATTCATCAAAACACTCAATCTTAAAAAAAGGGGACCGACCGACTGAAAATTTTTATTTGCCCTATCGATAGGTCAAGTCGAGACATTTCCGAAACCACGCCGCAATCGGGTCCCCGTCACCGGCAACGTCCCCAAAATCATTAATCATCAAGAACCTATATAGGCCCAATCCGACTGACTCACTCATAGAAATGTTTAGGGTCAAGGAGTGGTCGTAGAGACCTGCGGTTTTTTTTAATTCACCTCTAACCTTGTCAAAGCAGTCTTCAATTTTTTCGGACCTTGTATGCGCCCATTGACTGCCAAAGTAGCCAATGCAATACAAGCTATTCATTTGGGCAGTAAAAGTAGCTTTATTAAATGGTCAAAAGCTGGTTAGTAGACCTTTCAAAGAAGCAGTCCATTTACTCCCTTGGAAAATTTGCCTTTGGTCACCACGGACGTACTGAAATATGGCACGCGCCACACAGATGCGGGGGTCTGGGGGCGGAGCCCCCAGCGAGCAGCGCGAGTCAAGAACCTATATAGCCCCAATCCGACTGACTCACTGACTCACTCACTGACTCACTCACTCATAGAAATGTTTGGGGTCAAGGAGTGGTCGTAGAGACTTGCGGTTTTTTCTATTCGATTCCTAATTTTATGGGAAAATTGGGAAAAATCCCAGAAGTTCAAAATTCCTCACTGTTTCCGAGCAAACCCACTCAATCTTCGAAAAAGGGGACCGACCGACTAAAAATTTTTATTCGCCCTATCGGTAGATCTGGTCGAGACATTTCCAAAACTGTGCCGCAATCTGGTCCCCGACAGCGGCAACATCCTAAAAACGATATATAAAAATATAAAAATAGGCCTAAATTCAACAAAATCCACTCAATCTTCAAAAAAGGGGACCGACCGACTGAAAATTTTTATTCGCCCCATCGGTAGGGCTGGTCGAGACATTTCCAAAACTGTGCCGCAATCAGGTCCCCGTCATCGGCAACATCCTCAAAACGATAAAATAGGCCTAAATTTAACATAAATTTAACAAAATCCACTCAATCTTCAAAAAGGGGACCGACCGACTGAAATTTTTTATTCGCCCTTCGGTAGGTCTGGTCAAGACATTTCCGAAACTGTGCCGCAATCGGGTCTCCGTCACCGGCAACATCCTCAAAACGATAAAATAGGCCTAAATTTAACATAAATTTAACAAAATCCACTCAATCTTCACAAAAGGGGACCGACCGACTGAAAATTTTTATTCGCCCTATCGGTAGGTCTGGTCAAGACATTTCCGAAACTGTGCCGCAATCGGGTCTCCGTCACCGGCAACATCCTCAAAACGATAAAATAAGCCTAAATTTAACATAAATTTAAAAAAATCCACTCAATCTTCAAAAAAGGGGACCGACCGACTAAAAATTTTTATTCGCCCCATCGGTAGGTCTGGTCGAGACATTTCCGAAACTGTGCCGCAATCGGGTCCCCGTCACCGGCAACATCCTCAAAACGATAAAATAGGCCTAAATTCAATAAAATCCACTCAATCTTCAAAAAAGGGGACCGACCGACTAAAAAATTTTATTCGCCCTATCGGTAGGTCTGGTCCAGACATTTCCGAAACTGTGCCGCATTCGGGTCCCCGTCACCGGCAACATCCTCAACACGATAAAATTGGCCTAAATTCAACAAAATCCACTCAATCTTCAAAAAAGCGGACCGACCGACTAAAAATTTTTATTCGCCCTATCGGTAGGTCTGGTCGAGACATTTCCGAAACTGTGCCGCAATCGGGTCTCCGTCACCGGCAACGTCCTCAAAACGATTAAATAGGCCTAAATTCCACAAAATCCACTCAATCTTCAAAAAAGGGGACCGACCGACTGAAAATTTTTATTCGCCCTATCGGTAGGTCTGGTCAAGACATTTCCGAAACTATGCCGCAATCTGGTCCCCGTCACCAGCAACACCCTTAAGGGGGGACCCTGGTGAAACTTTTAAGTAGGCTTCAAAATAATCCCAGAAAGTTGAAACTTTGCTTAATTATTAGGTTCATTATGGTGGGTTCCCAAAACAAAATTCAATCCAAAATGTTGAACGTTTGCTGAGAAAAGTGGCTTTTTAGTAATTTTTAGAGCGTTGGGGAAAAATCTTCCTGCGTCTTTCATTGGGACAGCAAGTCTTAAAAATTTTTTTGGGTTATCCTTAAGATGTATAAAAAAGATTTTAGTGACGGAATTTTTTAAATAACAAATTAAATTAACAAAATCCACTCAACCTTCAAAAATAGGGACCGACCGACTAAAAATTTTTATTCGCCCCATCGGTAGGTCTTGTCGAGACATTTCCGAAACTATGCCGCAATCAGGCCCCGTCACCGGCAACGTCCTCAAAATCGTCAATCAAGAACCTATAAAGCCCCAATCCGACTGACTGACTCACTCACTCATAGAAATGTTTCGGGTCAAGGGTTGGTCTTAGAGACTCGCGGTTTTTTCCATTTACCTCTTTCCTTCTCAAAGCAGTCTTCAATATTTTCCGGACCTTGTATGCAGTCATTGACTGCCACAGTAGCTAATGCAATACAAGCTATCCATTTGGGCAGTAAAAGAAGCTTAATTATATGGTCAAAAGTTGTTAGTAGACCTTTCAAAGAAGCAGTACATTTACTTCCTTGGAAAATTTGCCTTTGGTCACCACGGACGTACTGAAAACACTTCGGCACGCGCCCCACACATGCAGGGGTCTGGGGGCGGAGCCCCCAGCGAGCAGCGCGAGTTACGACCTATGTATGTATTCATATGTTTTTCGGGTAGCTGAAAACAAAAATCGCTACCATTCGAACGTCTGATATTGCCAATGTTTAAACAATGGACTAATCTTGGATGAGAAGTGATAGGCATCTTCGCACCGTTATCTTAATGAATGAGTGTATTTTTCGCACATCGAATCAAGCAATGCTAGTTCCATCTACATCACATCTCTTTCTCCGAGTGTTCACGTTCAAATAACCGTTGCTGCTTTGCAAAATTCTCTCTTTCCGTGGGATCCTGCTTGTGCCTGCTACTGCATTGTGCCAGTTCCAATATTGATCGTTGTAACTTCCCTCACTTGTACACGGTGATTCAATGTGAGTCGCTTAAGAGGTAATGGTACACCCCTGAAAAAGCGGCATTTTCACCGACCTCTTTGTAACGCCGTCCTGGCCACACCGTTCGAGGTATCGATATGAAACTTGGCACACGGGCTCAGAAGGGATCAATCTCAATGACGGTGCGTTCAAAAAATTTTTTGAACGCCTAAGTTAGGCCCCAGGGCAGTCCAGTTTTGGTCCAACTTTCGTTCACAACAGGTCCTAAGAAAATAGGAATATCCAAAAAAGGGCCACGGTACGTTGTAGCTGCAACTTTGCTCTATCCAGAGAACAAGTCCCCATCTGCGTGCGGTCAAAAATAGAGATCAAAACCTGGTAGACGGCGGACCTCTGCACGGCGGGTTTGGACATCTTGCGAAGTTTTGAAAAGGCACTGTCGCAGACGAGCTCTACTGACCCCGCCTCCCCCCGCCCACCCCTCCGGGCGACCCGCCTGCAGCCCGCTGCTTTGTCTCTGCGCCGGGCCCCCCGCTGGCCCCCTCCTCATTCACGCGCCGGAGCAGAGGGTCGGCAGCGTGACGGCTCGATTTATGGCCTTGTACTCCGAGAGTTAAATTTTTGAACGGATGACTCTAGACTCTCAGGACATGAACAATTGCACTCAGCGCGTGTTCCTTGTGCCAGGCGAATCAAATTTTAATTTTCTACGTTAATTTTGACCTTTGTCATAGTTTCAACAGGCCCGGGTCAAATGGTCGTAGAAACTGAAATTTTAGTTGCCTGTCACCAGAATAGCACGCCAAACCTCTTCGTACAAGTTTCAAAACTAGAAAATGTCCCCTTTTAAAAGTTTGGCCGTACAGCCTAGAGCCATAAATCGACCTGTCACGGTGCCGAACCTCTCGGGTGAGGGTGGCCAGCCCGACAGTCCCCATTCAGTGAAACAAAGTCGGCGACAACATGTGCGGGACTTGGAGACAGTACAGCTCGTCGGCGCAAATATTGCACCTCCTCTCTCCGACCAGCTCCAAACCCGCCGTGCAGGGGTCCGCCGTCTACCAGGTTTTGATCTCTATTTTTGACCGCACGCAGATGGGGACTTGTTCTCTGGATAGAGCAAAGTTGCAGCTACAACGTACCGTGGCCCTTTTTTGGATATTCCTATTTTCTTAGGACCTGTTGTGAACGAAAGTTGGACCAAAACTGGACTGCCCTGGGGCCTAACTTAGGCGTTCAAAAAAATTTTTGAACGCACCGTCATTGAGATAGATCCCTTCTGAGCCCGTGTGCCAAGTTTCATATCGATACCTCGAACGGTGTGGCCAGGACGGCGTTACAAAGAGGTCGGTGAAAATGCCGCTTTTTCAGGGGTGTACCATTACCTCTTAAGGGAGGGGTAAAGTGACGAAAATCGATTTTCAGTTTTTACTTTTTTCCGACTCTTTGGGCCTTGGTACAACCAAACCTGACCATATTTCGACCTACAGCACTGTCAAATCGGCATAGGATGCTTTTAATTCGTACAATCACTGTTAGGTTAGGTTAGGCCCTCCAACTTAAAACCGGTTTTTCTCGGTAAATTTTTGTTGGACCTTGCGCGCAGGATATCTCGGAGACCATAAGAGGTAGAATGTTGTGCGATAGCTTAAAGTGATCAGTGTTCAAATAGCTAGAAGACAAGGGAGAGTTTTTTTCAAAAATGTGTCTCAATCTTTAGTTACAGGTCAATGAATGTCCAAAAGCGGCATAAAAACAGTCATGATTCTAGTTTTCAAGATTAAGACCGAAAGAAAACGTGTTTTTGAAATCCGGCTCCCTTGTCTTCTTCATTTTGACCATAAAAAATTTTTGCAACCTCGTGAGATTTTTTAGGACAACATTTGGATTTGAAATCCTGCGCGCAAGGATTAAAACCCGAAAATGGACCAAATCTTAAATGTTTGCGAAAATTCAAAAAGTGCCACCAGACGCGCAACTAAAGATGGTAAAATGGTAAAAAGTCATGAAGAATCCAATAGTGATGTCCATTTTCATGTCAGGGAGACCAATATGTAAGAAAAAACAGCTGAAAAAAACATGAAAAAAATTCGAAATTTCACTTTACGCCCCCCTTAAACTACTTTCAACTATATTTTTAGGGGAGGAAAGGTGAGCAGCTCTTTTTTCTTCGCCAGTTTGGATGCCAAAGAATAGAGGGTAAAAGCTTGGTCGGGCGTTCCAATGATAGTGATTTTTGGTTTCGGCGACCCGAAAAACATAGGTATCAATATATAACTCATATCATTTAAACTGCAAATTTTACGTCGGAAAAAGGCCCTAATTTGGTTGGAACTTGGTCGGAATTGGTCGAAAACTCGATCGGACGTTCAAATAGTGGTGATTTGCGGCATCAGCGACCCAAAAAACATCGGAAATGATGTAGATCTTGAAACGGAGAGTCCACTCCAAAACTCGCCCTTTAAGGCCCAAAAAGCAGGAAAACAAGTGGAAAAAACTCAACTTTGAAGCCCCATTTGACCCTCTAGATATATATTGTTGCACCAACTTTGATGGCCCATCTTAATCTAGTATGAAAACGAACGATTTCCCAAAGTTTGGTCGAAATCGGAGTGTATGACCTAAAAACGTTCCCTTGTAAACATAACCTATCAATACAAGCAATTATTTAAAAAATGCCAAAAGAAGGCTGAAACGGGAATAAGAACAAGCAAGTGTTGAGACAGAAAAGTCAGAAAATTAGAAGAAACAAGAGATGTGCAAAAATGGTATTCCCCCTGCCCAACTAAAGCAAATTTTGAAAACACTGCAAAACTGAAAGTTGATTTTTTCCGTGGGCTGTCTTAAGCACATTTCGGGGATGGGATAGGAGTGTTTGAAAAGTGGTTTCGGAGGGAAATGAGTTAATTAGGCCGCTTTGAAAAAGTGGCTGAGCCGACTAACCTGAAACCCATCCTTAAGCATCTACAGGCCACACGGAACCGAGCAAGGCTAATGATAAAATACCTTTGTCACTTACTTGAAATTAAGCGTACGATCGCTTTGTGATATTTTTGTCCATGTTTCACTACGGTCGGAGCTCCGACGACGCGGTCCTCTTCACGAATGAGCGACAGGTCGACAACACTCGCCTGCTCAGTCTCTGTCCAATGTAGGAGAGCTTTCGTTTTGCTCATGTTGATAGGCTCACAAATTCTAACGCACAGAAACAGGCCGGAGATGGAAATTCGAGCAGCAAAGGTGACTGGGGCCAAAAGAACTAGGCTTAGCTGCACAGGCCTAGGCTCCTCTCCGACACCCAGCGACACCAAGAACAAAGAACTCGCACTGCAAGTCTCGACACGTCTGGGTTGGTTTGGCGGCAAGTCGATGGCTGCCTCCGAGGGGCCCCATCTCTGTCACTCTTCAGTGTGAGTGCGAGAGAGACACAACGCATTGTTTTTCGAAACCACCCTACGGAATGCACCGCCGACTACAACCCACCAACTTGTTGCTCCGAGGCTCTGGTACTCTAGGCAACATACTAAAGAAATAACAGGAAAAGTAGCGATATACATCGGCAACTTTGGCCCGTCCCGTCCATTAAGAAACGTACGAATTTCATCTATGTTTGACCCCGACGGAATTAAAACCTGAATCTGGGGTTAAAATTAATGTCATTTTCGTCATCAGCACCCTTAAAAACATCAGAAACAATGCAAAAACTCGAATAAAAAGAATGTTCAAAAAATAACCCGCTGGGATTTGAACCCGGGTCCGAACTTCTCCGATTCGCTCGAAACTGGCACCATTGTTTTTTTCTCGTCGCCCCGATTCCAAAAATACCCCTACACGCCCTCCTAGCTGCATCCGTTGCCGAGATCCTCCTCGACCCCATGTAGACCATGATGCACCTGCAGCAGCGCCCCCGGGGCTCGGATCGGATTTGCTGCCACCGGGCGGTTCTTAGGGTCACCCAAGGAGGCTGCATACCAAATTTGGTCAAGATCGGACCACGGGAAGTCCTCGGACGGACGGACGGACGGACGGACGGACGGACGCACGCACAGCAGGGATCATACTATATGCCCGTCCCTCCGTCATTTTTTTTTACAAAAAATGAACGGGACGGGCCAAAAAAGAAAGTTTGAGACGCGCTAAACTTAGATTGAATTAATAACACAAAAATTATTTTCTGCTGAGATGCTCAAATGAGATGTCTTTATAGGGAAAATAAAAAGGGCATTCTTTGAAAATCGTAATTCAGCGTGCTACACATAAGCAAGTTGGAAATTGCAGTTGGTATGAGGATTTTACCCTCGTTTGTTTACGTTTTGACTTGGAGGCTAGTGAGTTAGAATCTAGTGAAAATTTGAGGATTTTGCAAGGAAATTCCTCGACCTCATTCGTGTGATCTGGCTAATGCAAGCCGATGATTGATTTTTTATCTTTTTGAGCGAAGCTTCGCTTTGCATTCCAACCGTTACATTCGAGTTTTGGAAGTGCACTTCTGTGTGAAATCTTAGGTGGTACTGTTTATTTCTACTGCCTTGTGATTTTTCGACTGTTATGATCTCCAAAAGACAATCTTCAAACAAGGAAATTTTTGCTTATGAAGGTAAATTTGAAAACTGAGTACTGTTTCAAGGCTCTTTGATGTGCAGTTAACCTCAAGAAATTGTCTCATACTTTCTTCAAATTTGCCTTGTTGCACTGACAAGTGCCACATATTATTTTTATTTTGTACAAATTTCCTTTGCTTAATTACAGGTTGGAGCCATAAGACATCATGGACAGAGATCAGAGAAGAGCAAGGGCCCGTTTACGGAGGGCAGCTCTGTACAGACACTTTTGACGGAATGTTCGACAAAGGCTGGATGCTGAGCAGCTCATCATGTCGAGTTCAGAGTCAGAGCGTGACTCTGAAAACTCTGCATCGGGGAACGAATCTAGTAAGTCTCTTGCTGGTACTCAAACAAATTTTTATTGAGAGCCTCTCACCCTATCCTGTCTGTTGCTGAAGTGTTATATCGTGTGCCTTGACAATTGTTTGTGAATCGATACGAATGCATACAGGTTCAGCGGATGACATGATGATTGAAGAAGAGATTGCAGAAGAAGAACAGAATGCACAAGGAGAGTTGCATGAAAGAGAAGAAGAGATTGCAGGGAGAGAACATAACGCACTTGAAGAGGAGCACGAGGAACAGCCTGCAGACGACCATAACCTGGCTAGAGAAAATAATTTGGCAAGTTCAGACCATGATACAGGTTCTGACTCTAATGTTGAGAATGAAGGTATGCCAGTGCTTGATAAAATACTCTAAAGGATTAAATTCACTTGCATTGTTTTCATGTTTTTAATCCATTTTATTTCTACCTTTCCAGATGATGAACATGTTATGGATGACAGCTCATCTGCTGAAAGTAATCAAAGCGAAGATGAGGCTGCTGAATCCGAACATTCTGGCCACAGTGAGGGAGACTCAGATGAAGAAAACCAAGGTGAAAACCTGGATGGAGATCAGCTTATTTATCCAGGAGCACCCATCACTTTGCATCAGAGTTTGTTGGCTGTTTTTACTTTGATGTCCGTAGAAAATCTTTCGGGTAAATTGGTTGAAAGCATTTTGCAACTTATTGCCCTTCATTGTCCGGAGGGGAATATTATTATGCAAACTCTGTACAAATTCAAGTCTTACTTTGCAAAAATTGGTGAATCTGAAATAGTATTTCATTATTTCTGCTCTCATTGCATTTTTCTTCTTGAGTCTAAAAATAGTGTTTGTCCAAAATGTCAAAAGACAAATGTATCTTACTTTCTAGAGCTCCCTCTCTTTCAACAACTTCAGAACCTATTCAACAAACCATTCTTTTACCAAGATCTCCAGTTTCGGTTCAGAGAGGATAGGAAACAACATGCAGAGCACATTGCTGACATCTACGATGGGGAGATTTATACTGAGCAAACGAGAAATGGATTTCTGAGCAATAATGACAATGTTTCTTTTATGTGGTATTCAGATGGAATCAGTATCTTTAGAAGTAGCAGTTTTTCTGTTTGGCCTTTGTGTTTGGTAATAAATGAATTGCCCTACAAGATGAGAACTTTACCTGAAAACATTTTGCTTGTTGGCCTTTGGTTTGGGAAAAGTAAACCAAACCCTAATTTATTTTTGAGACCTCTGTGTAGGACAATGAATGATTTTCAAACAAATGGTTTTAATTTCAAACTGCCTGATGGGTCAGAGATTACTGTGAAGGGAAAAGTATTGTGTGGAACTTGTGATTTGCCAGCTAAGTGCAAATTTATGCAGTTTAAACAGTTTAATTCTTATTTTGGTTGTCCAAAGTGCATTGCTGAAGGAGGCAGAGTAGATGTTGGTAGGACAACTGTACAAGTTTACCCGTACGATGCCAACATACAGAAAAGAACTCATCAACAGAGTATTGACTTTGCTGCTCAAGCTCTTCAAGCAAGGAGGACTAACAGGAAAGCATCTGTTTGCGGAGTGAAAGGACCAACCCTTCTCTCAAGAATTGTCCCTGATTTGATAAAATGCACAGGTATTGATGCCATGCATGGAAATTTTCTTGGAAATTGTAGAACACTTATAGATTTGTGGTTTAGTTCTACCTTCTCAAATATGCCATGGAGTGTTCACCATTTATTTGATGTTGCTGATGAAAAGATTCGTAAAATTAAGTCGCCTAGCTTCACTCAATGAGCACCACGCTCACTAAAGGAAATCAAGTTTTGGAAGGCATCTGAATTTAAGTTATTTATGCTTTACTATTCAATACCAGTGCTCAAAAATGTGTTAGAGGAGGTTTACTTTAAGCACCATTGTCTCCTTGTTTCGGGCCTTGCCCTTCTGAGCCAGGATAGTATTTCATTGGGCCAGGTGCAAGCTGCATCTGCTTTGTTATCATCTTATGTATCAGACTTTGCAAAATTATACCCATTACTCGCGCTGCTCGCTGGGGGCTCCGCCCCCAGACCCCCGCATGTGTGGGGCGCGTGCCGAAGTATTTTCAGTACGTCCAAGGTAACCAAAGGCAAATTTTCCAAGGAAGTAAATGTACTGCTTCTTTGAAAGGTCTATTTAACAACTTTTGACCATATAATTAAGCTACTTTTACTGCCCAAATAGATAGCTTTTATTGCATTGGCTACTGTGGCAGTCAATGGGTGCCCACAAGGTCCGGAAAATATTGAAGACTGAAGGATAGAGGTGAATGGAAAAAACCGAAAGTCTCTACGACCAACGACCACCCCTTGTCCCCAAACATTTCTATGAGTGAGTGAGTCAGTCAGTGTCAGTCGGATTGCCGGGGACAGGACCAGATTGCGGCACAGTTTCGGAAATGTCTCGACCAGACCTGCCGATAGGGCGAATAAAAATTTTCAGTCGGTCGGTCCCCTTTTTTAAAGATTGAGTGGATTTTGTTAATTTAAGGCCTTTTTAATCGTTTTGAGGATGTTGCCGGTGACGGAGACCCGATTGCGGCACAGTTTCGGAAATGTCTCGACCAGACCTGCCGATAGGGCGAATAAAAATTTTCAGTCGGTCGGTCCCCTTTTTTAAAGATTGAGTGGATTTTGTTAACTTAAGGTGAGGTGTGGGTGAAAATGGAAACTTCTATACCACTTGGCTGTGCTGGTTGAAACTTTAGGGCGTTAAAGTACTAGGTAGGAAACTATTACACTCCAAATTTTATCCAAATCTACCTACCCATTTAGCCACAGTAGGCTTTTTTCATTGAAATTAAGCGTTTAGTAGAAAAATCAGCCACGCAAAGTTTTTTAAAGGAATGGTCTGAAATTTGTTTTGGCGTTACCTAAACCCCTATACTTCAACGTAACAGAGAGATATTTGAATTTTATTTTTTGGTTTTGACTGAGCAAACTTCACAATTTTTTAATTTGAAAAAATTAAGTTTTTTTCTCCATTTTTTACCACTTTAAGGTAAACGATTTAAGAAAGTGGATAGACATTTGAAATATCTCTCTGTTACATTGTCACATGGACCACAAAGAACTACTCCAAGAAGTATGGTCAGTATAAAACAAAACTGTATGCGTAGCTAGTTGACGGAGTAGAAAAAAAATTTCTTCGACACTTGTCGTAAGAGTTGGGTGACCAGAAAAGGCGCATGTATACATCAGTCCATGTTAGATGAACCACTCACTTAG